GGGGGCCAAGACATGACTTGAAAGTCACTGGAATGTTCCTCGAACCAATCCATGACGATTCGACCCTTATGACATGATGCATTATCCTGTTGGTAAACACCATCCCCCGCAGGAAAAACTGTTGCCATGAATGGGTGAACCTGGTCTGCAACTATGTTCAAGTAGCTTACAGACGTCAGGGATTGTTCTATGAGGATTGTGGGTCCTAATGTGCCCCATAAAGAACATTGTTCCTGGGCGAGCCCATTGTTATAGATGGAGGGTGATCATAATGTAATGTCTCTTAGATATGTATATATATATATATATATGAAAAGTCTAAGTAATTTAAATATCTATGTAAGAAATTTTTAACTAAACTACCAAACTAACTACTAAACTTCTTATAGTTCCTAACCTTCTTTCCTTAAATTACTGTTAACAAACTTTAAAAGTTTTCCTGTATCTCTTGACTTAAAATTCCTTTTAAACAGATTGAATAATTTTGTTTAAATACATTAATGATTCATTCACTTAAAATATTTTTTTTCAGATGATGGTGAATCATGCGCAGTAAGTTCTGTTGAAATTGATGATTCTCACTGTGATTATCAAAAGAGACTTTACTGTGATCCTGACTCACAAACTTGCAAGAAGTTTTAAAACTGACAATTTTAAAAAGCTTATGAAATTGAGCATGTAAAAACTCAACGAAGCTTTGGAAAATATACTATATAACGTTAAGAAAACTGCAAACCCTTTATTTTTAAATAAATATTCTTCCTAGCTTGCTTTCTACCTGAATATTAAAATACTGTTTCATTTAAAAAGCCTAATGAAATATCAAAAATAATAATAATAATCACTGGAGATAGAAAAGTATCGTTAACTTTCAAAAATCTGATAAAATAATTAAAAAAAACTTTTAACACTGAAATACATTGTTTAATTTTAAAAATGTAAAGAGATATTAAAAAAAGTTGGATGAATACTTTAATTTTAAACTTTACTACCGATAAATAAATATTATTAGTTAATCAATGACAGAACACATTAAGTTATAGCACTAAAATATCTGTGAAAAATTTCTTTACTTCATTAAATTCCCCTGTTTACCTACTGAGGTGTTTTTCAAATCATTTACAGATCAAGTTGGATTAGAAAGTTTCTTAGCATTTCAAGAAAAGCAGAAATTTTATTCAGTTTGAATAAAGAAAAAAAAGAAATCATTTATTGACAAAAAATATTCATAAAAATTCGAATTCAAGAAAGCATAAAAACATTGAATTTAAAAATTCAAATAATTATGTTTATACATCTTTGTCAAAGGAAAAAAGGAATTTTAGTCAACTTAACCGATGAAATAATGAATGAAATGGAGAAGAATAAACTAAACAGTGCAGAACTAAAAAAAATTCATTAAAATAGTTTGAAAAAAATATAATGCTCATAATTTTAAACCCTATAAAACGAGAAATAAAACTTCAATCCATTCTAGTAAAGAGCAAAATTAGGAAATTTTGCTACTGGTAAGGGGCCCACTGTAGCATTTTTAACAGTGGCCAGTTTTTAAAACATGCCATTTATTCAAAAACTAAAAATTTTAAACGACTAAAAAAAAATTTTTAGACATTAATAATGCAAGGCTTTTTTTTTTAAAAAAAAAATAAGAAACAACCGTGAAGTAATAATAATTATTAGAATTCTGTATTTAATAATAAAAAAAATAATAATAAAATGCATACGCGGTGCGTTTTTAACAAAATAAATGGTGATCTGGTGGTGTCTGAGAAACAATTATTAAATCACAATTTGTTAAATTTAATCGCCCAGAGGCCAGTTAATTTTTATTCCAGAACATGTATTGAAGGAAATCTTAGATTACAATCAAAATATTGGTTGTGCATGAATTGTTACTTTAAAATTGTATTTAAAAATTTCTGATAAAAAATATTTTTTAACCGGTCACTTAGAACCATGTTTTAAATCTTCAAATAAGTTCTCACAGTAGGCTTTGAGTTTGCATGAAATAAAGCCAAATAATATCCACGTGCTCAGCATTTAAAAATGCTTAATATAACCTATGAATGAATTTCGAACAAATAAGCCTTTTTTAAACTAGACATATTGGCGTCGTATTATTATAATAATAATAACTTAGCGTTCTCATATCACATAGAAAGCTAAGACACAATTAAAATTTTCCCAATTGTTCATATCTTAAGGTAAAATAACTTGCGGATATTATTACAATGTATTAATTTGTGTCAGTATTATTGCAGAAGAATGATGTGTGATATCGGAACTAATATTTTATTTTGAAAGTTAAGTTATGTTAAGTCTAACGTAAGCCATTTTTAACTAAATCATTACTATATAAAACATATAATAAATAAAACGAATAAAATAGAAGTAAAAAGCTTTACAATCTAAAATAAAAATTTAATTTCTTCAAGCCATAGATACTTTACCTAAAGAAAGATTTTAATGTCTTAGAGGCTTGATTTCACCGACAATTTTTCATGTTTTTCACAGATTATAATTTTGTTTGAATAGATAAAATAAATGCACAAATATTTACACTTATATTCAGAGAATAAAATGTAAACCTTAATTTGGAACAAATTGGTATCAAATTTTATCTAGACTTGTTTGTCCAAAAACCAATTGAGAGAGAGCGCGAGCTCAACTTTCACGAAGTGTATATTTTACCAGTATGTATCACCTTCATATTAATTTTTGATTTTAAAAAAGTATTCTTTTAAATAGTGCTGATTGTGATCAAAATGTTATGTCATTTCGTTACATTTAAAGGTATTTGAAATTAAAATATTTTTATTAGTTTTAATACAAAAAATTTCTATGACAGATCTAGATGACAACAGAACACTTGTTTAAAGAACAAGGTCATCTTCAAGAAGTATTTTCTTAATCAGCATTTGCACAAAATGGAGGTAAAAACCTCTCATGGTTAGCCCGAGGTCTGATATGTTTTTACTAAAATATAATTTACATCAGCACAGCAATCTCTGCTGGCAGGGAGAAAAATAAAATTATCTATCTCTGTGATTCGTTCATTTGTAGACTTAATCTGTCCCCACAGAGCCATGCCTATTTTTAAGAAAAAGTTGCCATTAGTTTCGTCAAACATATAAGTATGCTTATAATTTTGGATATAATACTTAATATTTTAAGCATGCGCACACTTCTTAAAGATTCTTGACAAGCCCCATTCGCATTTACAATTTAAAAATAATAATCCGAAAAACGAAAACATTCCAGGTAATAGGTATTACTGATATTATGTTAATGGGTGCTAATTTATAATGTACTATATATAACAATATCATGATACCTACTATGAATACTGGAGAAATAGGTTTTTTAAACCTACTAAATAGAATAAGTACTGGAGAAAATTGTTGATTATGGTGATTTTTGACTGTCGGGAGTGGGTCTCGAGCAATGCTGAACATTGTTTATCTTCATTTTGAGAGGAGGAACTTCTAAAAACATATTTTGCTTAATCTAATAACGTAAAGCCATCAAGAAGAGCTACAAATAACAATCAATTATTATCTTAAAAAATGGTATTTAAAATACTTGCCTCTGCGTATCTCTGCCAATTTTGTGCATGATTTTTTAATGTTGATCATTATCGTTTTATACAATTATGATGCATTTTTTGAATTTTAAGTTTTATTTCAAAAAGAAAACCGAATATTCTATACAATAATAATAAACCGAGTAACAATAATAAAAAATTTAAAATGTTGCCTGAGCACAAAATAAGATTTATTTTCAATGTGACTTTGCTTAGGGAAAAAAACAAAATTATTTTTTTACCAGGACAGTGCATCAGGAACACAAACTAATGCGAATCAAAAACAAAAAAAGTTTATAATGAAGCTGTTAAAGGGGTTATTTTTGCCTGTCTCTTTTAATTATTAATTCGTTAAAAAAAAAAAAAAATTTACAAAATTCTTAACGTATGGAAGCATTATTTGCTCTCTGAATCAAACATAAATTAAGTAAGAATTATGAAATAAATTGTAAAGAATAATATTAAAGGATTAATTGTAAACATTAAAAAAAAAGCTTTATTAAATGCACTTAATTATCTTTATTTATGGTTACAGACTATCTCTACATCTTTTTAAATTTTAAAAAATTAATTACTAAAATAAATTAAACTACTAACAAACTACTACTTACTAAATGACAAAACTTTTTTAAAATATTTGTTAAAAAATAACTATAATATTAACTGCATAAATATATGATGTATTTACAAAACAAGAAACGATTTTGAGTTAAGTCAATACTTTCAGAATAGACGAAGAAATATTTCATTTATTTTAGGTAAACCAAATACATTTTCTAGTAATTCGATTAAATTAATTTTGAACTAAAGCTTAAATTTTACTAGTACATTCTAAATAAATTTTTTATTTTAGTTTTCATATTCTATAAAAAATTTCTAAAATAAATGAAATACAGTAATGAAAATTATAACACAGGTACCAAACATTTGTTATAAAATTGTAATTTAAGTATGAACTACTTTGAACAAAAGGAAATGCATTATGGGATAATTAGTTAAAACTTTTGACACTCTAGCAAACTATGTATATGATAAAATGTTCATTGCAGACATCAATAAAAATGTTAAATTGTATAAGAACAATTGATAATTTGCATTCTAGTTTGTATCTTTTAACATTATTGACTGCACAAACGTATGCTTAAGAAAAAAATTTTAGTAGGAACAACATTAAGCATAAATGTATAATTCAGAGTTTTTAAAGTTTCAAAAAAAATTTTTTTACCTACTATGGCAAATCAAACATTTACTTGTACTATTAAGAATATTAATTATGTATGCTTTCAAATATTTTCAAAAGAGTGACTTTTGTTAAAGTTCTCGGAATTTTAATTAGCATTTTTACATCCATTTAATGAAATTTTTCCAGATAGTTTCATAAAATATCAGCCATACATAAAAATAAACTAAAACCATCAATGTATTGGACAATTTTTATTATCAAACATATACATAATAAAAAAATGTCAATAGATGAGTTAAACTGAAAATAAACATTACTCCATATGTATACAGTTTGAACAAGTTAAAATATACCTGATTTAATATTTCAATATTTATTTTTTCGTACACTTGAGCAAATGTATATCTGGACTTTGGTAATCAGGATGCTGTTCAGATTGAGGAATAATGTCAATTTCAAAAGAAGATCTTAACTTCTATAACAGAATAAATAAAAAATAATCTAGTAATTTATTATAAAGTTGAAATGTAATAAGTTTCAATTATAACCATCAACCATTATAAACATCATTTTACACAATTTTGCCCTATCCATTCTGATGTTGCCTTTCACTATCCTTAAAGCTATATTTATAATGTTCATGCAGTTCAGCTATAAACTAGATTTCAAATTCAAGACAACAAAAATCAAACCTAATGAAATTTATATTGATTTAGATATTCAAACAAATATTAAATCAGGAAAAAATAAAATAAACGTGCGTCTGTAAGACAGTACTTCTTCAGGGGACACACTGTCTACAAACACACAGGAGCCTTTCTGTTGTCAGTGGAAAAACCAAAACTGACAGCGCCCTGAGGTCCCATAATGAAGAGACAAATAAGAAAATCATTACCAGAATTGGAAAAAAAAAATGTAACAGCAAACACTTTCCTGATTTAATGTTTGTTTGATTATGTAAATTAAAACAAAGTAAAGTTGGTTTTAGCTGCTTTAGGCGCTTTTCCATTTTGATGTAATGTTTTAATTGTTAATTTACTTTTTTGTCTATTTTTTGCTTTTGTAAATTGGATTCATTTTCTGATTAGAAATTTATATTGATAATTTTTCTTTAAAAGCTTGATATGAAAAAGTGGAATTTTTACTTTAACAAATTTTACTTCATTAAACAAATTATTAAATTCCTAAACAAGTAATTTACTTTAACTTGCAAAATCACATTTATTTATTATTTTCAAAAAAGGCAGGCTTTTCAGCTTGCTTTTATAAACGTTGAAATTTCACATATTATCTCAAAAATTACTTTAATGTACATAACTTTATGTATAAAAAATGCCTTCTAATATTCTTTGTACATTCTAATCTGAAAAGTGATAGTGTCAGACTAAATTGAATTCAATGTTGCTGGAAACACTTAATCCTAATCAGAATCTTGGGTAGAAATTAATACATTATATAGACTCTTCAAATAAAACAAAATTTTCATTACTAACTAAAACTTCAAAAATTACACTGTTCTCAAACTTTAATATTTATTCATAGATTTTTTCTTCATTTATATTTATATATATATATATATATATATACAGTGGTGGCCAAAAGTGTGGACATTTTTTGTAAGTTTCATGTTTTTCAACTNACTATTTGAAAGTATGTTTAAAAGAAAGAAGGGAACTAAAATGCTTGACAAAGAAAGAAATATTTATAAATGATAAGGGCTAAATTTATCATAGCAATAACAAATTCAATTTTCCACAGGTAAGTTTTATTGCCTTCTTATAAACTAATTCATCACAAAAGAGAAATTACCAGTTTTAATGCTCTGAGTGTTTGACCAAGTTTAAAATGAATGATGCTAGGAAAAAATGAATGATACTAGGTAAAAATGAATGACTTAAAATGAATGATACTAGGAAAAAAAGTTCCAGACAAATTTGAAGAAATATATAACAAATAAAATTTATTTATGAGATAAAAATTTTGTCCATCAACAAAACTTAAATAAAACTTTTTTTGGAAGGAAGAAATATGGTTTACTTTTCTTACATTTATATTTAAGTTTTTTGCTACCATCAATTCCAAAGAGTTATGAAAAACATAAGCAGTATATTGTAAATAAAAAAAATTATTCGCATTACAATTCATAGTTCTAATGTAAAAATAATTCTAAATTACATTAAAAACAAGAAAAATTAAAAATATACATTAAATGAAGCACTCATAGGAAAACAATATCTAGTAACTAAGAGCTATAAAACGCAGCAAAAGTTGATAGATTCCGCATAATTGGATAAATTAATATAACTGCATTAGTTAGTCTCGAGTAAGTACGCAAATTTAACAGATATTCATTATTTTATAATAGCAGATTAACTATCCATTAAATAATATTTCACTACAATTACTTAAGAATTAAATAGGAATTTCTATTAAATATAAAATGAAAAGAAAAAGAGCTTACATTTAAAAAACCTTTTAATAATTCTCTTTTGTTACCAAGCTCTCTGTCTTCATAAGATATCAGGATTTCTGTATGTGAGCCAGCCAATTCTTCTAACGTTGGAATAAGTTTTTCAACTGACTAAAAGAAAATAAAGAATTAAGAAAGAAAAAAAATGAATAGATGAATAAACATATGTACACTAAAAATAACATGTAATTTTAAAGTATTGAACAAATTAAAAAAGAGTTTACAAAACAAACAAACACAACAAAACATTGAAAAATATACAAAAGAGTTAATAGAGTGCATTTCATTGACTTGAAAAGTTAAAGGAATGCATTTTTTAGAGATATTTTACAGGTAAACTATACAAGATACAGAAGTACCTTGGTTTATTCAACACTCACCAAAGCAAAGATTTCACAAATAAACCAAAAATATCAAATAATCGGGGATACGTTATTAGATATGTTTTCTGAGTCTACAAACATTAAAATATGAACAAAGTATATGGAACACAATAAAACTATTGAAGAAAAGAAAATACTAAATAATAATAAGCATATCAGTGTGAAGAATTTTATTTAATTTGAAGTAAAATAATTACACGCAATAAAAAAATTATGTGAAATTCAATTAGCGTGTGCTAGAATAATACCATCAAAAATATAACTAAATATTCTTAAAAATGATGACGAAACATTCTATCATTTTCAGCTATCATCATTTTTAAAAAAAGCACGCTTCCACAAAATCAATAGAATTAATTTTACATACTTACCATGTCATAATAAACACAGTCGGAAACCAAGATTAAATCTGGAACTAAAAATTTTGTATCCACCTCACCCCATTTTAATACAGCAGCTGAAACTGAACCTTTCAGAGCTTTACAGTTAGACTGAATATTTTTCTCCAGTATAGGAATAATTTCAGGTAAATCAGTCAGGATAACTTTAGCACTGAAACATTGAAAATTCCTTTTTTAATGCATAATAAAACATTTGTTCAGCATTTATCATTACTTTAAAAATGAATGAAATACGAATATAATAAGTTCAGCTAAAAGAAAGAAATATAACCACAAGAAACAAGCAAAATATTAATGTAGAACAAAATGTTAATAATGAAAATATAATCAAACATGTGATTGCTGGAAAAAGAAATTATCTGAAATTTTTTCTCAAGGTGTAGATTTTTTTTTGCATTTAACTTTTTTTCTTGTGCAGGATATACTTAAAAGACTTGTTTTTATGCATAAAAGTAATATTTAGAAAGTTTAAAGAGGGAAAGAAAAAATTTTGCATCTAATAATAAGATTGAAACAAGAATTTACGATGGTACTCAGTGCATCGAAAAATTATTACTGAAATATGGGATTCAAGATATTGTAATATCATATTAAAAATTAATTTAATCTAAAAGAAGCCAATTAAAAAAGGGGGTAAATACATCACATGAATTAAAAAATACCAGAAATGTTTAACATAATTGCTACTTATTAAAAAATAAGTTTTAAAAAATGAGAAAAACACCATTACTTCTAGCGAAATTTTTGCTTTACATGTTTGCCATTTCGGAATTACTTTTAACATAACAAATTTTATACTTTCGTGTTTGCCTTAGTAGTTTATTAATTCCAGTTTTATAAAGGAATTTTTTTTTTTTTGAAATTTATCCAAAGTTGCGTTTCTCTCTAATAAATCTGCATGAAGAAGTTGTGATTACGTATGAATGAGGACATAGAGAAAAAAAAACAGGGAGCTGGTAAAGGTCGAATAAATTGCTCGCTACCTAGATTTCACAAAACAAAAATTCAAATTTCGGATTAGAGGAGCTCCTCAAATTTTTCTTCGGAATATAAATTATTGATTCGCGGAAGTTGGGAAATCAACCATCTTGAATTTCATGGATTTCCGCAAATTAGCAGATCAATTACATGCTTGAATACTAAGCAGTATAAAGCAAAGTTTTCAAAGGATTTTTAACTATAAAACAAAATAAATAATATATATAATGATTGTATATTTTAATTGCTTTAAGGAAATTAAAAATAAATTGAAAAGAAAGAAAACACCATAAAAGTTAAATGCAAAACAAGCATGTTTTTACAGTATACATCTCATTTAGAAGTCTGCATTGAAAATTAGATTTTAAATTTCTAATATTTAACAAAGGGGCTATCAATTAAATAGAATATTTAAAATGAAAGCCTTTTGCAGACTTTCAATTTTAATAAGTATTAAAATAATCCCATAAACTATGTAATAAGAATAAGAAAATGTTATAAGCTTACATAAGTAAGAAAAATGAACATTTCAATGCTTTAAACAAAGCAAAATTATATGAATTAAGCAAAAATACAGTAAAAAATTAGCTTTATTCATGTTGTTTAGCTTTGTTCATCGATAGCCCATAATATACCAAAACACATTAGGTAATAAAATTTTTAGCACATTTCCATTTTATTTTTGATATTCAAATCATGTCATTATGCATATTGCTTATTTACAAATTTAACTCAAAATAAATAATAAAATTATTAAGCAAGCTTTATTATTATCTGAATCATACTAAAACATGAGCAAAAACTGGTTTAAAACTATTTAGCCATATTCTGGTCCCTTTTTTTTTAACAACTTTTAGTTACATAATCCATAAATTTCATAAAGAATTCAAGTTGTTCTTTAGTTTATTAACATTTAAAATTCCTTTTCAATCCTGCTATGGCTGTTTTATTATTTTTTAACTGTGAGGATGTGGTGGAAAAAATACATTATTTTTGTGTTATCTACAACTTTATTACAAATGTAGTAAACAATTACTTTTTTTTAAATGTAGTGACTACAAACTACTTTTGAGATGTAATCCATGACTTTTAAGAGATTCTGGAGATTACCTTAATTTACACTAAACTTCAAAATAGTTTGGGGGAGATTTCAGTATTGTGAACTGTGGCAGAATAATAAGAAACTTTCAGTCAGTGGGCCGCGAAAAACTAAAAGAAAAAAAATCACAGAAAGGGACCAACTCAAAAGGTATAGCTTGTGTAGTTATTTGCCCCAGACAAACAACTACATGTTCTTTTTAAAAAAAGTGCAAGTTTAAAATCTATTTGGAATCTCGGTAATTGTAGTTGGTGAGACAGATCACGATACGGAAATATCCCCCAGTTCGTGTTTGGAAATCATTTATTACGAAGTTGTTCTCTTAACCTTCCACATTTTCTGCCTTGCTCGACAACAAATATTGAATTTAAAAATTATTCTGTCTCAGATCACGATACGGAAATCTTTCCTAATAAATAAACAAGGTTCTCACAAGAAAAGAAAAAAGTATGACATAAAAATATTGTGTTACCACATAGAAAAAAAAACTACCCTAATGCAGCTGCAAATAAACCAGCGACACCAGTCCCTGAGCCAATATCTACAACCATTTTGCCACTCATAGAATTTACGAACTTTTGTTGGTAATCTAAGTATTTACCCATTACAATTCCGGCATCCCAAACAACGCATCCCACATCTCCAACAGAATGCTGAACAAGTTTCAACTCTACATTTCCATACTCTACTTCTATTTCTCTAATAAATTCATAGTTTTCCGAATCCATTTTTTTTTTTTTTTTTTTTTTTTTTTTTTTTTTTTTTTTAAATTCTTGATTCAAGCTTGTTTTATGAAAAGAAAGATCCAAAATAGTCACTCAGCCAAAAAGATTGATTGATGTTTATTTGATTCAGTGACGAACGACGCTTTCAACTGCCCATTTTTGCTGAACTTTAAGCCTTTAATGTCCCGTAAGAGCTCTTTTCTAAAGAAAATTTGTCCCGCAGTGGACTGATCGTTAAGACACGGTTCCCAGCAGATCACCGAAGTCAAGCATCACTGGCTACGGTCAGTGTGCGGGTGGGTGACCACTTGGATCAGTCTGCGTAGGGACCGAGGGTGTGCGGTATTGGTCCTCGCTAAACTGTGCTACCGTAAAGTGCTCGACTTCGCGCGCAGGTCGTCGGGCTACCGAAGCGGGGGTGCCATCCCTTCCGCAGAGGATCAAAATTGTGATGGCATGTCTTCGGATCATCCTCCGGGATGTTTCCCAGACCGTCGCCAATAGCCCATTGTGCAGCTCTAGTGCGACGTAAATTAACAACAACAACAACAACAACTGAAGAAAATTTTAGAAAAACTTCTCAATCAGGTTCTCACCACTGTAAGCAGAGATGTGTTAGTCGCATACGATGAGAATGGTCCTTAATAACCTGAGAATGCTTGCTGCTCTTTTAAATAAGTTCTCGACTTCGAACGCAGGTCATCGGACTTTAAAATGATACAAAAGATTGTATACCTCGCATTTCAAAATTTATAATACTAATAAATAAAATAATAAATAAGTTTACTAATAAATAAAATAATAAATATGTTTGCTGATAAATAAAATAATAAATATGTATTAAAAATTAAATTTTGCGAGTATTATTTTTTAGCATTTTTATACAATAGCAATTGTTCTTTCAATACTATTTTGAGTAAGCCAAGACCGGCAAGTACCAATTATCTTAAGTAATACATCATATATTCTTTCACAAAGATTCCTTAACGAAGATTTCAATTCTTTCACCACATATTTCTTTCTTAACACTAAGACAGGCAAGAAGTCAGTTAGAACCAGGGGTCTTTCCAGGCCAAATTTACTACCGTTTAGCGGTGCCTTCACGAATTCAACTTTAGGAAAAACGATAGTCTCACAAAATACTTTTTCTTAAAATTTTATTTTTGTATCCCGTAACAAACGATAAATCCATATTTTTGGGTTGATTTTTTAATATGATTCTTAATTTTCCCAAATTGGGTCAAAATTTTCACAAAATAGGTACCTATCAGAAAAACCTAGGCAGACCCCTGAGAACATTAACAAACAACTTATGCATCGAACATGGCATCGAAGTTGTCAGGTACACAAAACAAAATATATCACGGTTACAATAAAATACATAAAAAATAACAAATCTAAGTTAAATAAAAGACATAGACAATATAGAATTATGTTTCAACAAATTCGATATACGACACAGCGTTGCATTTAATTAACGCCGTGTTAATTAATGATTATTAATTAACATTCTAACTTATGTAAGGAAACTTAGCTCGAATTAACATGCCATTTTGCTTATTAACGATCAGCTGACGCTTACGTCATAGATCAAAAGTGCAAGTATCCGTGATTGTCTTCTTCTCGAAGTGCAAGCACCCATTTGTGTGTTAAAAAAATATTTTTTTCATCCACTCAAAAAAATTCGTGTCGTGATATGCCTATTCTTCTGAGAGTGTAGTAACGTGATAAATGGCACTTATAAGTGCTAAACTTAAACTGAAAAACATTTCCTTGTGTTAGCTACCACATTTTTTTAAAAAAATCATCTTAATCTCCTGTTTACAGATTATAATGATAATTATATTTTTAATTTATTAAAAATACATTATTATATTTTATTATTTAAACATATAATATAAATTATTAAAATAAATAATTTAATATATTATAGAAAATAATTATTACTACATAATATAATAAATATTATTACTATAATATACATTATTAAAATATATTATAATATATTAATTAAAATAGTATGGAGAAAGCAAATATATTTTTTCTCTAAACAAAGTCATTAAAAGCAAAACAGATATGATCTTAAAAATAAAAACATTGCCAACTATAATGGGTAACGTACAGCACACACAAAGATATACGGACCACCCTAAATAACTTTTGATTTAATGACTGGATCTTCACGTTCTAGGACTCAATTTTAATGGTAGAAGGAGGTGACCCCAAATATGTTAAATAATTAGTGCAGACGATATTTTAAGTTACGAAATCAGACACAAAAGCGCACTTTATCTGATTGAGCGTACCTTTTTATCAACTGATTCAAATTTTTGACCCCCAAAACACATGGGGTAGCTACAATCTGAGATATACTGACCCAATAGTTCGGTCAAGACAGACGTCCTAAGTATGGATCCCTTAATGTTAATTTTACTTTTTGTGTATTTTGCAACATCTTGAGAACTTTTTAAGGGTATTGAAAAAATTTTACCCTCGATTATTAAAATTTTTTTTATCCAAAGATAATTCCATTCAAAAAATATCCTATAGTAATTATTTATTAATTTTTATTATTTTATTTAAATCGGAAAACTTTTGAATTGTAAGGTAAGGTTATCTCGACTATTAAAAAGTACAATTTCAAATTAAAAAATACAAAATTTAGGAGAAATGAGTCGAATAATTCCTGAGAAATCAAATTTTAAAAAAGTTGTAACTTTAAAATTCAATTTCTCAGGAACTATTCGACAAATTTTGTATTTAGCTGTTCTTTAAAATGATGTAAGAAAACCTTCCAATTAAAAATTTTTTCGTTTATTAAAATAAAATAATAAAAATTAATTAATAAATACTATAGGATTATAAACACATTTTATACTTGAGTACAAAAAGTCGCTTAAAAAGTTCTAGAGATAAGGAGAAATACGTAAAAAGTAAACTTAACCTCAATGCCGGATTTACGTATAAGCTAAATAAGCTGTAGCTTGGGGCCCCAAGATAACAAGGGCGCCAGATCCTACTTTTTATCCTTTTTTTTTTTTTTAAATTTTTATTCGGAGCTGGGGTTCTCAGAAGTCCAAAATGCATTTTTCTTTTATACATTGTAGGACGCTTTTCAAAATCTAATTGAAGTATTTACAAATATAAAATAATTGTTACTCATCTCTTTTCAAACCAAAAGAACAATAAAACGGTCTTTTGACTGATGTAAATATTCCTGCTTTTGTACCCCACAGTGTTGTCAAATAGCTCTCTCACTTTACACTGAGGGAAAATATATTTAGCTTCTTTAAATTACCTAGCCTATGGCTCTTTTGTCCTTACTTCGGAAATATCGGATATCCACAGAAACACCCTTTTGTCGGATTTCTGGTCATAAATTGCTTGGAGCAACAAATTTCTAGGGCTGTAAATAGGGAGAGGGTCTCGTAAGTATTTCTTTGGGTCACCCTGTGTTGAGATTTCCATTGCGTCACATTGTCATTTCAGTCATCCTCCTTCAATTCTAATTTTTCTTTTTCACAAAATTTAGATATTTTTTCTAATTTATAATAAAAGCTTTTTCTTCTTTTAACTATCCTAAATGTTTCAGCTAGCTTAATTGTTTAATTTACTTAATTATTGTAATGGATTTTATTTTGCTATTTTCCAAATTAATCGAACATGAACCCGCGAACTCCGAACTTCTAAATCCAAATTTTCATAGGATATTAAGAAGACATACATTTTTCACCTTTAGGTACGCAAATGTTTTTATTAAATCAATTTTGGTTGTGGTTAGGGAAAACATTGTAGAACTTTTTTAGAGCTAAAGAACTGGGTCAAACCTCCTTACTAAAAGGTAATTTGACCCACTTTGTTCTGAAGGATGAGTATTTAAAGAACCAACAAAGCAATAAATAAGTGTCTTAAAAATGCTATAATTTTGTTTAAAGAAACATCAAATCTAATAGTTATTTACTGATGAAAAGTGAGAAATTTGAAGCATTAATAAGGCTTTTAAATTTTTAAATCAAAGTCGGAACAACTTCTTAAAATTGTAAATCGAAACTATGACATTTTAACAACTTTGTTTTAATTTTAAACGTGTGCATGTAATTTAATAAAATAAAAACTTTTAAATTTAAAAAATGTAAATAAATGACTGAATAAAACAAAAACCTTCATTGTCATTAAAAGGGCACAAATCATCTTTCAAGCAATTTGAGTACTATTAATAAAAAAATTTTCTAAAAAAAACAATTTTTTAGTTTAAAAGGTAAAAAAGTTGTTTACACCCCCCCTTCATTCGATCATCAGACTATTTAATATCTGTTTCTAAAGATTAGAATTCCCTTTTATTTTTCCTAAAAATTGTACAAATGATATATTTAATGTTTTCATGTGATGTGCAGTAGTTTTAAATATCTAAAAATGACTGAAATCATCAATTCAAAAACAATTAACTAATACTTTTGAATATGAATTTAAATAACTGCTCACGTTTGTTTTGCTATCTCATTTTATATAGTATTATTTAGAGCAGACAGTTGCATGTGGGTGTGATGAGGACGTAATAAGAGAAGCATACAAAAAAAGCAAATTTCATTTCAGTTAAAATTCTTAATATTATATTTTTAAACTCCTCGAAAAATGTAGTAAAAAAGGTATACAAACTAACTGATGCAAACAAATTAATATTCAGTAAGAACGAAACAAAAATGATATTGAAATATGTTGAATCACTAATGAGACAGGCGGGATGAAAGACAATAAAACCTATTTGATTGAATAGTCAAACTAGAAGGTGTTTCTAAAATTCTGAAATCTATCTGGCTTTAATTTTTTTTTTCTGTCACGAAATTTATCAGTTATTAAAAATAATAAATTCGTTAGGTTTCAATATTGGTTCTGTTTTTTCGTTGATTAAATATTTAACGTTAACAGATATTTGTCTTTTAAAAAATTTCCTTCTATAATCTTACTATATATAAAAATCCAATGATGGTTTCGCAGTTTTCCATTGTTGTCAATACATTTCTTTTGGCTGGGAAATCACATGGTAGGATCCAGTTTTCCCACATTAATTTTCTCTTTGGTTTGGTTGTCATCAGCATAAAATTGATAAGAGACATAAAGTTATTGTTTTCTAATTATTATTTGTTTGGTGCAAATTACATTAA